ATTGAAGCTGACAAGATTTATTAAAGGCATTCTCTTTATAAGATTTCTTATTAGTGCACATGATTCTAATAGCAAATATGTTTTCATCATTATTAAACTGTATAAAGTTTATATTTATATTTTATATAGTTATGGAATATTTTATATTTTATATATTTATAAACAATATTTCATATAACGTATGCACACACCAGCAGGCCCCACCTACAGCAACAGGTGATGACAAAGCCAATAGCCCATGTCAAATAAGTGGTACATACTGAAGCTGACATGCTGTCACAGAGACCAGACACTCAAGAAGACCCAACCAAGAATCGCCACGGACCCGAGTCTGCAGAGATGTACAGCTACATTGACAGCGCCGAGGACAAAGAGCCTCTATTGGGTGGAGCTGTGATAACACCTGCTACGTGGGAGTCAGCAAGGACCTGGAGGAACTGCATGCTCAGTGCCTGGACAGGAACAGGCGCTTTAGTGAACTCCAGAAAACAAAATTTCTATGGGACAGCGGAGTGGACAGGACTCTGAGTTCCTGTCTCTGCTGATCTCAGTTCTTGGGCCCTTGGTCTCCTCCTGCCCTTGAACCCTGCAATGTCTTGATCACTCTATTTGCCTTTCTTCCTTTTCAGATAGGAATCCTCTTGTGATCTCCATGATTGCATTAGAAGAGAAGAAAAAAAAAATATGGTTGAAACTAGGAAAGGAGCAACAGCATCAGCAGCACCAGCAAAAGGCCAAGTTGGCTCTGGGACTCCTGGCCCCATGGACAAAGTGAACCTCAAAGGCAGGCTCTGGAGCCCAGGCAGCCTGGGGATAGGGGGCAGACCCTCTACCAAATCTCTTCCCCATCTCTCGGTGAAAGCAGCTGGCGTTTTTTACAGGCCTCATTCACTCTCTCTTCCCTCCTTTTCTGAGCTAAAGGCCAAATAGGAGTCTCAAAGCCACTGAGGCCTGCCTGCCCTTAAGCACCAGGGTGGAGGCAATATCGCTTGGGCACCGAGGTAAATATTTTCATGCAGCATTAAAATGAATCAAGCAGGGGAAACCTGAGCCTGATGCTAGGTTTTTGTAAACAGTCTTTGATTGGAATCAGGGCGGTGATCAGAATGAGAAGAGTAAGGCATGATTGCTCATGCAAGTGAAGTGTCAGAGCCTGTCTTTATTTAAAATTTTGATTACTTGTTCATAATAATAATTAATTTTGATTTTTAAAAATTGTGCAAAAAGTATTATTTATGTGGAATCTCTATATGCAAACTCTGGCTTACGAGAATTGCCCATTACCAGAGGGAGCATAATTTCTTAAAGGAAAAAAAAAATAGAACTGAACTACTTCGTGTCCTTGTATGCAGATAAATAAATATACATGGATAATATATAAGTAATACATAAATGTTATATATGTAAATATATACATATATATGTAAATATATATACATATATGTAAATATATATATACACACACACACACACACACACATACATATATAAGGAAGGAGTTCTGTGTGGAGACTAACAGATAGGAATAATAGCAACATCTATACCATAGAACTGATGAGAGAAATAAATAACATAACATACGTAAGTACCTAACACAATGTCTAGCCACAGAGGAAGCCTTCAGAAATGTTCACTACTGTTACTTCATAATATATCCTATCACAATGGTTTAACCTGTGGCATATGTGGCATAATGGAAAGAGGCTTGATTAGGAATCAGGCACTCTGGTTCGTTTAGAGATACACGCTGAAATATTTATAGGAATCCTGTTATTTGCAACAACATGGATGAATCTAAAGGACATTATGCTAAATGAAATTAGCCAGAGACAAAAAAAGTTTTCTGTGAAATGATTATTTTTATTTTTGCTATTAGTAGTAGTAGTAATAGCTGCCCTATTTTACAGTTGGGAAACTGAAGCTTGGAATGATGATGAGCCTTGCTCAGTGTCACGTGACAAGAATACGGGGCGAAGTTCTCGCTATGAGGAGGAAACTAGAAGAGCAATACTTTGTGCTGAAACCAGATTCAGGTATTCTAACTCCAAAGCCTGGCTTCTTTACTAAATCCCTGGTCTTCTGTATTTTGGGGGAGGGGGTGGTTAGTGTCATCATGTACCCCTTCATTATCTCATGAAAGGTGTACACACTCTTAAAATTACAGTACATACAGATTTTACATTCAAATTCAGAGACTCAATCTTCATGATGTCCAAACATAGCCTCCAAATCAGAAACACCATATCTGAACAATGTGCCCCATTCCAAAACTGCAGTGAACTCAGCCAAGTGCCCCCTTAGAGATTCTCCCCCTCTACTCCACATCGTAAGACACTGCTTTCATTAAGTCACCGGCCCTGACCAAAACCTTTATAGTTAACCATGCCCAAATGCTGGCATTCTAACTTCTTCTATGAGTTTGACCCGAACCCACCTTTTAAACTCTATTTCTCACCTGCTATAGTGTTATCTTCAGGATTCCTGTCCAGCTCTCTCTCAAGGTCACACTTTACATATACTTTCTTTCCTGGCCAGCCTGGGTGTGATGGGGTTCCCTGAGAAAAGCTTGCACTTGGTCCCTCCTGGGGCTGTTAATACTATTTCTTTTAATTGGGATTCCCTGCTCAGCCTGCTCAGTATCTGCCAATGTCTGACCCATCGTGTGAGGTGCAAAGGGTACCCTATTACCCACAAAAATCAAACCTGTTTCTACCACTGCCTACCAAGAACTGTGTCTTCGAAGGTTTGAATTCTGGCCCACTACCTTTGGGCTGTGTAACCTTGGGCAAGTCACTGAGCCTCCTTGAGCCTCCATTTCTTTGGTTAGGAATTAAAGAGAGTGATGGCTATAAGACTGATTAGCCAGGCCCTGGTGCACGGTGAGCACCCATATGGTGTCACTGGCATAAACAAGCAGAACTATGTGCCGCTCCACAGGCTCTCATATCCACTCAGGGACTGCACTCCATGTCTGGCATCTTCAGTCACAGTGTGGATTCATGTATAGACTGACCCCACACAGTCCTGACTCCTTAACTCCAGCATCACCTCAGGTTGTCTCAGCCCTCACCATAGGCCTCGCTTGCATGATCTCATATAAATTCACAACACCAACAAGCAGGTATCATCATGATCTCCATTCTACAGAGGTAGCAACTGAGGAACAGAGAGGTTAGCTAACTTGCCCAGGGTCACAAAGCAAGTCAGCAGTGGGGCTGGACAGTCCGCCTCCATACTGTGGGGGCTCCTGCTCTTGATAGGCCAGTCTGCCTCCCCAGATTGTGAGAACCTACAGCACAATGGCCAAGTTAGCCTTCATGTCCTTACCCACATTGCTACCCTGTACATGCAGCAGCCATTGTCTGAACCACATGTACGTACAAAAAGACATGGCAGGAACATTATTTTCACAAGAAAACATACTCTTTTCATTGCCAACACTTAGATGATAACCATCTTTACCTGCTCTCATGGGCCCTTATTAAAAATAATTACTAAAAAGATGGAAGTAGAAAATAGGAGTGGTCATTTATAAAGATTTAAAAACTCGTCCCTATTAATTTTCACAACCCCATGAGTTAGGTACTATCGTTATCTCCATTTTGCAGATAAGGAAACTAAAGCTAAGAGAGAATAAGCAACTCAAGTTAGCCAGATAATAAGTGGTCAGTAAGCAAGGTTTCTGATGTCAGTAGTTTGGCTCCAGGAAGAGCTAGCCTGAGGAGGAAACGACTTGGTCAGAGTCATACAAAGCCTGTCCGATTGCCATCTGTGACCATCTTTTTGAAAGTAAATTGGTCAACTAAACATTTTTTAACTGTTTTCTTACCCATTCTCTGCGAACGTGAAGCAGGGAGCGTTTATCCATTAGGTACATTTCATAAGGTGATACATTTAGGGGCCATGATCTCACGCATGCTCGCTACCAAAGTTCTTCTGGCAAGTACACCTCCCTTTTGACTGCCAACCGCCTGCCGCATGCGCACCTCAACAGGCCCACCCCCGCCCCCCCAGGAACTGGCGATAAACTCAGGGAGGGCGTTTAATCAGACACACTGTAGCCTGACTAGACTCCAGAAGAACCTCGAAGGAGCCAGGCGGCATTGCAGAATCTATGGAAGCCACAGCCTCACAGATGGCACTCAGGACGTGAAGCCTCAGCGCCAGCGAAGCCAGGATGCCACTGGTTTCCTCAGCCTGGGAGTCGATGAGGAGTGGGAAACACTGCATGGTTAGTGCTGGTCGTGACACGTGCCTCAGCCGACTCCGAGAAACCAACGTTCCATGGGAGAGGCGAGCGGACGGGAAACCCCTTGGAGGCAGCCCCTCACCCCTCCTCACAGCCTGGGCTGCAGTGCCCTGATCTTTCTCTTTGGGTTTCTTCCTTTTCAGAAGCGAAGCCTGTGGAGATGTCGCTAATCAGAGAAGAAGGAGAAGAGGAAAAGGGTACACAGCCCAAACCTGAGCAGGGAGCAGCATCAGGAGGAGAAAAAGAGATAAGAGCTGAAGAAGAAGCCGAAGAAGGCAGCGACGGTGGCCCGGATGGCCCATGCGCCCCAGGCGCCATGAACGACGAAAACCACGAGGCCAGCGACGATAGTGGCGGAGAACCCGGAGAGCAGAGGCAGGAAGAACAGCCCCTTCAGGCTATCGTCCAGCGTCAACAGCCAAGGGACAGGGAGCAGGTGGTCCAGCGCCCCATGTTCACCCTGGTCCAGGTGCAAGAGCTAGAGCGCATTTTCCGTTTCAACGCCTATCCCAACTTGTTTATGAGGTAAGCGAACTGCCAGGATATGGCGCCATTTCCAGCGAGCACGTGGCGCATGTCCAGGGTGGCAGTTGGTGTTCTCAGAGGTCTGTCACCTTTCCTTCTGAACGAAAGGCCACCTGGGGGATTTGAGGCCTGACAGGGGGCGGCTCTCCTGCAATTCGGTTCAGAGTAACAGCTATGCCTTTGAGACTCAAAGTAAATTTTATGCAGTATTTAAATGAATCAAACTGGGAAACTTCGGCAGGCGCTTGTTATTTTCAATAACTTTCTATTAGAACCAAGGCAAGGATAAGAATGAGAAGCCCGAGGGAGGCATGGTGGAGCAAATCAGAGCAGGATCCTACCTTAATTTAAAATGTTGATAAATCTGTTCATCAGAGACTTTTTTTGCATTGATTTTTATATTTTTAAATGCTGCATTTGAAAATTATTTATCTTGCCTAGTGACTTTTCTGCATTCTTTTAATTTTGCTCCTGAAAGGAAACTGTCTCTAAGTCAAGCCTCAGCTAGATATTACAGAATAGTGCGGGGGGTGGGGGTGGTGGCAGTTAGTGATTAAAAATTTGAAAATAAGCGCAAACAATGAAGAGAGTTTGTATTGTTCTTTAGCATTAGTACATTTGGGAATGTACTCCATCCTGTATATGATAGATAGATAGATAGATAGATAGATAGATAGATAGATAGATAGATATAGGCCAATCAAGCTATTTTTAAGCATCTAATTTAATCTATAAAATGGGTAAGAGCAATGGTTGAAAGTTGGTAGAGATGTTTCCTCAGTCAGAGATTTTTAGTCATTTTGAAGTTGGTAACAGTAAAAATCTAAATTAGAATTTCATGTGTTCTTGAGTACCGTGCTTCCATGAGACTTGGTTTTTTAAAAATCCTTTGTCAACTGAATTTCCTGAAATGGTGTGTTTTTCTACTACAGAAATTGGTTCATAAAATAAATCGCTGACATTTCCCTGAAAAAAATTTGAATAAGAAAGAAATAACATCTTATATTTAACTTACATCCACATCTCTGAATACTGAACATGTGTGTTTTTTTCTCCTCAGACAGGAGATTGCGAGACGTATGAATATGCCTGAAGCTAGAGTGCAGGTCAGTAAACCTTTTTTTTTAAAGCCATTCGGCAGGGCAGCCATTCTAAAACCTGCTTCAGGACTTGCAGACCTTTGTCCTGGACATTCCCAAGTTGGTGTGTTTTTATTGCCTTTTCCATGATTGGAAAATAATTTTGGGGTCTTAGTAGGTGGAAAATAGGATGAATAAACTCTAGTTTTTGGAAATTACCCATTATCAGAGGGAACATGATTTCCAAATTGGAAAATTACTGTAGTATACTATTCCTTGTATACAAAGATATTCACACCTTTGTGAATATATATATATACCTTTGTGTGTGTGTATATACACATACACACACACACACACCTTTGTATAAACAATACCTATATATACTTATATATTATTATATGTACATTATACACACACACACCTCAACTCCTAACACTGGTGTCATTGAGATAACCCTTCTGTTTGAGGTCACATTGGGGTTAAGTGTGAAGTGGAAATTATTCAAATTAATGTACCAAAGAGTTCAATTTTAGTAAATTATTTAAAGTCGTGCAAAAGCTCATTGCAAAAGGGGTGAATTTGTAAATATTTAGGCATTGGAAGGAGGGAATATTTTACACATTAGAACACAACAGATGAGCAGCTGATGTCTGTTTAGTTAGGCTGAGACTAATGGGAAGGATAGTCCCCCAAGTCCAGGTGCCTAGCCCTTCTGCTGTTGTTTTTAAGTGTTTGGTGTAGCAGTGAAGAGAACTACAGCCCTAAATTTTAATTTTCTGGAATATTTTGATAGGTCGACCTGAAAACATTGCTAACTTAGTAGATTGTGCATTATAATGGAGATGGGAAGGGGAATTGCAACCTTTGAAGTATGTCTAATAAAGAAACAAATGAAAACAACAATTTCAAACAGAATTCCACCAACCTAAGAAAGGTAGAAGTGTTAGGCAAGCATAATATCGAGTCGAACATATGCCTTGGGGTTACCACACACAGTCAAATTTTGGAAACTACCAAATGCACTAGTGAATATTCTCTTGAGGAATTTCTAATACTTAAGAGATTTTTTTTCTCTTTTTTCTGTGGTCCTATTTGGAAGAGATGGGTTGTGTGGAATTTCTTGGTAGTGGGGGGTGACTCTTAGTTCAGGCTGGATTCTTACCTGTGGTAGTTTGAAATACTTTTTTCATTTGCTCAGTCAGTTAGTCAACTTACAGGTCAATGGATTAAGAGGTGATTTCTGAGACTGTAATAAAACTTAAGTTGTATCAAAGAATAATTTGGGGGAAAAGGGGGAGAAGAAAAGAAAGAAAAAATCGGGATGGGTTTATTAGCTTTGCTGCAGAGTGTGTGTGAGTGCAGCGATGGAAACGGGATGCAGATCTGGTGGTGGGGTGTCTGAAAGGCAGCCCAACCAAGCAGGCCACTAAGTGCTGGCATCCTAAGGCCATAGGCTGGGCTGGTAGTCAGGGCTGGCCAGGGTTTGAGAGGACCAGGCCTCTGCTTTTTCCTACAGGCAAAACCAGCTCAGAGGAAAATAAATACTTCAATTTTGGTGACTTGCTTTCCCACTCCACGGATTTTCATAGTGTGCTCTTAATGGGGTTCTGAAGGGAAAGGGAGCCACAAGAAACAAATAAGAAAATTTTCTCATCAATTTTCAAATTCTACAACATGAATTCCCCTAAGAAATTTTTTCCCAGTTTTGTTGAGATATAATTGATATACAGCATTGTATAAGTTTCAGGTGTACAATATAATAATTTGACTTCAACATATTGTGAAGAGATTACCACAATAAGTTTAGTTAATATCCATCATGTCACATAGATACAAACAAAAAAAGAAAAAAAAATGTTTTTTTACCCTGTGATGAGAACTCGTGGGACTTACTCTCTTAACAACTTTCACATATCCCATAGAGAAGTGTCAACTGTAGTTATCATGTTGTACATTACATCCTCAAGAGTTATCTTATAACTGGAACTTTGTACCTTTTGACCACCTTCCTCCAACTCTCTACCCAAAGTCACCACAAATCTGATCTTTTACTATTAGTTTTTTGGTTTTTTTTCAGATTCCACTTATAAGTGAGGTCATATAGCATTTGTCCAAAGAAAAATTTAATGGAGGTGCTACCCAATCTATTTTAAAAATGCAGTAAGACTTGTTTTATGAAACCAGCATTGGAAATATGGAACTCCTATCAGCCTATACCTCAGTTAGCCCAATTTGTGTTTTAGTTGTGTTTATGCAGATTTGACCATGGGTACACTTGGATCTCCATCCAAATGAACTTGATTACACTGGCTTTTTTAGACGACATATTCTTGAAGCAGAAGGACCCAAATCTGAAATGAAAGAGGGAAAATGAGGTCTCAGGCAGCTAGAGAAGGCCCTTAGAGAAGGACCACTTAAAACAGTGGTCCCTAACCTATTTTGCACCAGGGGCCAGTGCTCCAAAGAGAATCTAATGCCTGATGATCTGAGGTGGAGCTAAGGCAGTGATGCTAGTGCTGGGGAGTAGCTGCAAATACAGATGAAGCTTAACTTGCTCTCCTGCTGCTCACCTTCTACTGTGTGGCCCAGTTCCTACAGGCCACAGACCAGAACCAATGCGCGGCCCAATGGCTGGAGACCCCTGACTTAAACTATGCCATTTGGAAACCTCCAAAAGAATTTAAATACTATGTAAACCCCATT